GTACAAAATTGAAAGGAACATTTTCTGTGTTTTGTTTACTTTACATAGATGAATATTTTTCAGAAGGGTACATACCTTTTAGCAGTAAATTGTATCTGGAAATGCCATGCAGCACACATGTAAAAATTCCCCAAATATAATGGCTGCATGAAGTTAGAAGCTAACAGGAGGAAATTAAAGAAAATCGTGGAGAATACTCAAATTTGTAAGATTTTCAAGTGGTTGCCTAATGAAGCTTCCTGTCTGCGTAAATTACTACAATTATAGTTGTGATTGTTTCAAAGCTTCTAAGCTGTTTTATTCTGTCCAATTTTGCAATAAAGTGTAAATAGTAGTTAAGTTCATAACTATATTAGTGAGCCTACCTGGAAGGGTCCGATGGACAAATTATACTAGGTCCAAATGCACAGATTTTATGACTAAATGTATGTTCTAAAGCTTCACCCATGCAGTATTTGCATAAGGTAAGTGTGCTCTGTATGGTTTATGCTAGTGGTTTTTTCTTATATTTAAACGATGGCAGTACAAAAAACTTGTCCACCAGTTTCCGTTATCCCACGCAGATTTATCTCACGGCAGCAACAACTATGCAATACGCAATTCAACCATGATGTGTTATTTCCTAACCTTAACATGCATAAAAGTTACAAGCTGGGACTAAATGAGTGGGAAAGACTTCACATGCACTGTTCATTCTTTACATTAAATAAAAGTCAGGCAAATCACAAGTTGTTTTAGGTAAAATAAATGCACCTCAAAAAAAAAATTTATTTTAAACTCTCCTTATGAGATTGCGCTTATTTTTTCTGTCCTTACTTTGATCATACAGGCACACTGTCATACTGCAAACGGATTCCCATATCACACCCGTGACAGTCACTTTTCTCATTAAATCAAGTCAACTTTCAAAATCGAACGACTTTGTTTGAAAATCACGCAAGGTTGGTGCTAATGAACAATTATTAATGGATTACTGGTTAGTAACACCGCAACTCCTTTGGAAAATCTCTTAAATTAAAGTTTACTCTTAAATTGCTGCGTATTGACTAACATTAATTAAACTCAAGCAAGTGTTTTCTAAATGTATAATTGTTTCTGCAACCACTTAGGAAGAATGTGATTCCATTTTAAGGGTTTATTTTTCTTTTTATTAAATACCCCATTCATCTTAAAGCCAAATTGGTTACCAATGTCACTAAAGGCGGGAAACCATAAAGGACATAAATAATGGAATTATGATGTGTATTGTGTAGTATTTGTCTATTTCACTACTATGTCGTACAACAAAGAAAATTCTTGAAGCAAAAGTATAGCCATTTATGGCCTAGGTGTTGGGAAGTGCTCTCAATGAAAGTAAAAGTGAGTTCATTTGAGTGTGCATATTCATAGCATTCATGAAGTGAAAAAAGCACTAGGTCCATTCATTTTGCCCATTTAAACAGGACACAATTGACAATTTTGGATGCTGAATGGAACGCATGAAAAATAAGCGATCTTTGGCATATGTTATGAACCCTAATTTCATTGATGTTAAATTAGTGCACGCAAAAGCTTGAATTCATGATCTATTTATTAAACTCTGCCGATGGAAACAAAATCACGATTGCCCTTAATTGATTTGAATGTGGTTGGTGCTGACTGAATTGCCAATGACTAATACGATCATAACCTGAGACCGCCTGAATAAAACAGTCAACTGCCTTAGCCCAAAGTCTTAGTAGGACTAGCGGTTTGATTATTTTTCAAATGTGAGCACTTATTTACTGGCATTTTGCACAATTAACCAAACAGTATCCATTATTCATTTCCCAATTACTTATGTGATTGATTTTTTTATTTAGTGTTACATACTTACACAATTGTGGGAGTTTATTTTTAAAATGTAGCAAGGAAACATTCGCAGGCCGCCTGTTTCCCGAATCCAACCGCTACGAATATTTTTCACAGAATTTTGTTTTGAGCTGATTTAACATCTCAAGGCACAAATCAATCCGATTTTATTGGGTTTTAATGGTGCAATAACTGCACTTGTTTAAATGTATAAATTGCATTTTAAAATAAAAAGCAGGTAATTTGGTTCCCATTTGCAAACAATTGTTTTCAAAAGTAGATTTTAGCCGAATCCCTCCTTAAGCATTTGCGTGTCCAATGCATAACCCTAGCCCGTTCTTTGATCTCGAGGCCCTGAGCTTAAACTGTTTGTAAGAGTTGATGTGATATTGTAAATTGGACGCTGCTGAAAGTGATGATATAAAAATTCATTTAACTTTATCCACAACTGCCATACTGAAAAGCACCGCGTTTTTTAAGAAGTCGTTTTCTTACGGCAATTTTAGTTTATTAAGTTCCAGTCGGATTTTCACATGTGTGTACAATAAATGAACTCAAGTGTTGTCGGAACAGTTTTTTTCATTTCTATTCTTTGGAAAATCTTGTCAGTGTTCCATTTGCAAAGACTTATCGGGGCATAGCCGTAGGAAACGTTTTTCTTTTGTTCTGCATGATTTAATAGACACTTGTCTTTTAGCACGAATTTATGGCAACGCGAGACTTCAGCCCTCTGTTCACACATTACAAATGCCAAAAGAAAGGTTTTACGAAAGTTTCCAATTTAAACCTTGAATGTAAATGAACTTAGATTTTCCAGACTGATTATGTGAAAGTGCTGGGTAATAAAATCCTTCTCAGATTAGGATTTGTCCAAAACAAACACTTGGACACAAAACATTCCCCACCAAACAGTACGATGAGGCAATTTGATTAACTAATTTTAGGAAGACTTCATAAATTATTCACATTTGATTCAGTAGCCCCGGTTACTTTTATTTTTAAAAGTAATTTACCAGTAAGATTTATTTTCTTAGTAAACCAAGGGTTCTTTGTCCAATTTAATCAAGACATTTACGATATATTATGCGCGATTGAACTTTGATTGATAGTTCATTATCCTGGATTTTAAATAGTTAACCACAAGTGATTAAATAGTAGTGGCTCAATGTTAGGTATCTTGTGCAGTACTTATGATCTTTTGAATACAAAGTAAATGATGTTGAAATAAAATTAGAAAATTTTTCTCTCCTTTGTTTAACACCACCACCACCTAGCGTGAGTGCATGGGAAATCCAGTTAAAATTACACATTTTATTTACGCGAACATTATTTGTTAACGCTTGATTATTCGTGCATGTCAATAATGCCCAATTTGGTAGTGTTGCTTACAAGTTATTGAATTTCATAACTTATTATTCGTCGACTTTTGCAAATGCTTCAGTGGTGTAAATGGTACTTCGCTGATTGGAATGAAGTTGGCAACGGTCTCATTAACAATTTGACGTACTTTTTTGGAAAAGGAATGTGCTATGAATTCCCGTGTCATTGAGCTAATTCTTAACAGCCATTAATAAGCTGATCAATCCTGTTCAAAAGGGAAGGCAAATTTATGAATGCGCCCCTTTGCTCAAATATAATTTTTTTAAGTCGTTCATATGGAGTTCGTAAATTTGTTCACAAAACATTTGAGTCCTTAAAATGAACTTTTTGAGAAGAAATGGCCTTCATAAAATGCATTTTTGGTGTGACAGTTTTATTCGTAAAATTTTTCACCCACCTCATGATCTAACAACACTTTTACGGTCAACAAATGTACCTTTTGGAATAGTATTTCTGAGGTTTGTAGATGCAGAATTTTTAGGAAAACTACTCTATATTTTGTTACTCAGCATGAAAATGTCAGATGTGGATGCTTATTCCACCTCAACTGCATTGTTCATTAAGTAGGCTACGTAACGATTTACAAATATGCCATCCGCATTTACCATATAAGGAAGCACTGATAATTCCTATTTGCTGTTTTTATTGCACGTTCCTTTTAATGGCTTGAGATACTTCAATAACAGCTTCATTGCTTTGTCCAAGTCCACTGTAAGAATTATCATTACGGTATTGTAAATTATGTGCGAATTTCCAGGATGATGAGTAAAATCACACTGGTTATCTCAGCGAACACCACCGTAATATGTTTGCTCATGTTACGTTTTACCGTACCATGAATGCAACGTAAAATAACTGATAACCCTTTTAAAGTTGAATTTATTTTTTTTCTCTGGACTCCATTAGATTTGGCCGGGCAGTTTGGTCGCATCATCACTGAAACTTGGCTAAAGAATGTGGTGTGAGTGTTTAAACATGGCTGAAACATTTGCATCCGCCAGTCGAAGTTACTATAATCCAGTCGCGTGTCGAGGGTGGATTTTACTTTCTTTCAAATACCAATCTAAAAACCATCAAGAACTTTAAAAAGGAGTTTAAACATCATGACTACGATGATATTTTTAGGATAAACTGCACTTCCAACCGCTAGCATATGGAATTTGTACTAATATAAATCCGTAAAGAAGATTAGTTTTTGGAACTCACCAAACTGAGTCAGGCCTTTCCAACATAACCATGCAGTGTGGGTGTAAATTTCAGGAGCTTCAGTGCAGCCATATTCGAATGATGGATTATTTTACGAAATACGAGGCTCTAGATCACTAAAAGGCCAAATGATTAGTGCATTCATTTTGCATTCTTCAAGCTAATAAAAGAGCCCTGACATAAGTTGGATTAGGGATAATGATTTCATCGAAGATCCAAGTCCAAATATGAGCAAAGTAATTTATTATGCTAACAGATTTTCTCACAAGCTCAGTGACCAAAAAAATTGGATTTGATCATCCTTAATGCGGGAGTTTTAGCTTAACTTCACTTTAAATTCGAATGTACTAGGTAAATAAAGAAATATTTGTAAACCGCATATCAAGATATAGTATCCTCATAGCATGGTGAAATTTTGTTGACACCACCTCTAAAATAAACCAAGTATCCATAGTGCTTTGAGCACTTTTGTTCAAAAAAGCGAAAATGCACAGCTTTTTATATACATAAAAATGTGGTAAGAGGAAGAAGGGAGAAGTGTTGACGATCAAAATGTCATAGTCACTTACTAACGGTTCAGTGCTTCAGTAATCGATTTCAAAGGATCTTTTCCTGTGCTTTCGGTGCAGTGAGCTTTTTACAAGAATTGACTTTGGGATCATCAGATTGGAAGAACTGGAGGAGGGAATTATCTCCTTTTGTTTGGAATGGTGATGATGCAGTTCAACGATTTTTTGTGGTGCACGGATACTGCCCAGCTGTTTTGGAAGACATTCCCCTGACCTTTTGTAAATGGATAGATTTCGTTGCAGTACTGCATTATTCGTTCCTCCACTATCTCTAGCAGTTATCATAAGTGGTTCACCCAAAATTGTCTGGGCAATTAAAGAGGGTCGATGTTGCTGAATTTGATTATCAGAGTTGAATGAGAGATTGTTGTCGTTGGTCAAATCATCAGAAAATACCGAAGCCGGTGTAGTCTCAGCTGTCCCTTCCTGACTTGAAGCGGAGCTGTCTTTACATTTTCGCCCTTCGACAAATCGGGTTCTGTTTAGCGGTATAGTCGGGCTAGTCTTTCTAAAGCTCGATCGAGAATTTACCGCATAATCTGATGATCCTGATTCAGTACATTCAACGGCTGGACTTTCCGTGAGATCGAACGAATATTCCTCAAAATCTGCGCCCACCACTGCCTCATCGTCAGACGATGTTGTGGAAGCGCAGCTACTGCAGTAAGGAACATCAAGCGTTATGCTCCGTGTTCTACGACTTCTCAGTGAAAATTGATTTCGGTGATCAAAACTCATTGAGCTACTTCTCCTATTCAGTAAAGAAGGCATCAACAGTCCGTGAATTGGACAAAAGGGTGTTGCATTTCTACTTATTCTTGATGGAAGCGTGCGGTATTGAACCTGTGTTGGACTACTGCTCTGATGGGATCCAAGTGACTTTCTTTGGATGCGAGGGGCAGGTCCCGTATGGTAACTAGATGTGTCAGTCCTATTTCTGACGGCACGAAGAGAGGTAGCGGACTTCGATTTAGCAATATGTCGGGGCGTCTGCGTGAATGAGGAAGCAGTTCTCCTAGTAATGTTTCGTGAAGCAACGCTCACGGGACTGCCGTGAATTGGACATGCATCGAAAATTGATGTTCGTACCATTTGTTCATTTGAATTATTTTGCAATCTCGTATTGACCCCATGAATAGGACACGGTCCAGAAACTAAAAATGGGTTGTTGGCCGATGGAATGGTGGCACTACTTGCTGCGTCTGTTATTTGATCAAATAAGCGGCTAGGAAGTGATACGGCACCGTAACCCTCCGAAATTGGCTGATAGCACAAATCAGTACAATTAGCATTCGTTGAGATGTTGGAAGTACTCGGGAATTCGGTGGCAACTAACGCGGTGGAGTGAGAAGACATTGATTGCTTATTTGGAGTCGAAGAAACTGGTCGTGTCAGAGCCGCAGTTGTCGTTGTGGCAGTTGTTAAAGAGACTAATTTGGGAGATGAAACGCAGAAGGTAGTGTTAGTCGCCAAACTGGTGGGCACAATATATTTCGTAGTGACTAGCTTTGTTGATATTAAGTGGTTTTTCTCAGCCGTTTTAGCATTAATGCCATCCACCGCCCTGGAGTTACTGCCGGTAGTCGATGGATTTTTTATTGGGACGGGTGAATCTGGTGGATCGTTGGCGACACGAGTGCCTATCAGTTCTCGAGCATCCTCACCTGAATTCGACATGCCCATACTGTGGGTACTGTTCTTCTGCAGTGGCGTAGCACAACTTGAGATAGCTGATAGTTTTTTCGATCCAAGTCTACCCCAATAACAGAAAACAGTAAGTGTAATGGCAGCAAGGAGGACAAATACGATTGCAATACCTATCGCCACGTATACAAGAATCTGCCTCTGGGCCTCATCCATTCCTGAAGCGACTCCAGATACAGAAATCTGCTGGACAGTCACATTGATGGAAGCTTTTTGTAAGATACCGCCATCATCTAGACCACATTCCCATATCCCCCCATCCTCGTATCTTACCCGGGTGATATTTAAATACGCTATGAAATCCAGAGAAATGGACTGCGAGATGACGTAATTGGGGGAAGGAGTCACCAGTGGTAAATGGTCTTTGAACCATTGAACGTTCTTCCTAACTTCAAAGTAACCTTGACACGAAAGAGAAAGGTTAGATCCGAGAACAGCGGAAATCTGCTTCTGCTTGGTGTCGATCCACTGCTTGCAAATGAATTCCTCCGGCTCAATGGCACCCCTCCCAGAAGGGCTGAAAATTAAACGCCGCTTTACAACGTAGGGGGATTTGCAGGTAGGGGTAATAGTATTAGTTGTTCCGAATTTTGTCTTTTGATCGTAGGAAAGTTGCATTGACGGAAGAGTATCGGAGAGATACCATTCTCGAAGCCATCGAAGATTGCAATCACAGTGCCAAGGATTGCCACCAAGTTGGAGCTCTCGAAGTCTTTCCATTCGATGGAAAACGGGTCGGAAATCACTAGAAAGTGTCTCTAATCTGCAGAAGGACAAATCCAATATTTGAAGATTACGCAGAACAGCAAAAGTAGACGCTTCTAAGCTTAATGGAAATTCGTCCTTTACATGACTTAGCCGAAGTTCAAAAAGGGATTTGCCTAAAGAACTGGGAAAAAAGTTGGGGGGAATTCGTCCTAGAGGATTCTCTGATAGATCCAAAATTTCGAGTGCGGGTAAATGATAGAATGTTGCCGGGAGTAGGCCGCTTTCATCCAGTCGAAGGGAATTGTTGCGCAAACTCAAAATCCGAAGACGATTCAAGCCTTCAAATACATCTGAATGTACATGTTCCAGCTGACATGAATCCAGGTAAAATTCCTCAAGATATACGAGTCTTTGTAATTCCCTATCATCCAAGCGTCTGATTAATTGCTGGGTCACGCGCAGATTTATGAGTAAATTAGGCAAATCCGCGGGTAATTTTGTCAAAAGTGAAGTATCAGAATCACAAACAGCTTTTTTCCAGTGCAGATCCGGCTGAATGGCGATTACAGTACAGCCACGAACAGCATTAGCTGTTCGCGTCAATAAAAGCAAGGAGACCACTAGACCCCCGATTTTCATCGGCATTAGACGAGAATATATCTCTCAATTTTTTGGTTACTCCATGCTTTTCACACTTGGAAATATGTACAAGAATCACTCCTCGCACACCCGATTCGCAAATGAGATGAAGGTAGAAATGGTAATAAGAAAAAGGAGAAAATTGAATAAAGCCACCAACTACCCATCAATTACGGTCCGGAACGCGCATGTGTGCAAACACGAACAGGCCATTGTAGCAGTGGGCGAAATCATAGTAGCCAATGGGCTTTACAGTCCCTCTCAGTGGCCTAGCGCGCGCACGAAGCATACCGTGAGAGAGCTTCGACGTCGGGCCACGACCGATGCGTATGCGCACGCGCATGCGAATATGGTGTGTGCAGGTACGTAAGGCAGACAGGTCGTGAGGCACGGACAGGCTCTGAGGTGGATCGCTTGCCAATTTGGGATTGCCCAAGCAAGCTCACAAGCTTTGTCCCACGTGCGTTGCTGTAATCGGTTTGCGCATCTCGCTTCGTACGCGTTTCCTTTGGTCCGATTGGACGACCCACCGCATTATTGATCGACCTACACTATGATGGGTATCTCCACACCCGCGCAACAAGTCGGGCTTTCCCCTTTTGACCTCCTTATGCGTTTGGTCCAGCTGGATAACGGTTCAAGCACAGATTAGTTCACACCAAGGTGCACCGAATGAAGTTTATGCTGATCAAAACAACGAAATATATTCTAGTTCTGCGCTGGCCTATTTGGTGTTTTTGTCTAGTATTTTATGAATAGCTTCTAGAACGACAAAAAACACTTATTTTGTGTTTGCTTACTTTCCACTTCAGAGTCCGTTATTTCGGAATTCACTCACAGCACTAGGCAAACGAACATTTGAACTTAGGCTATGATGTGCTGCTATCTATCCACCTGGGCCACCCTAATCAATGCTACTTATTTACTAACTCAAGTTGTACTAGGGAAGTACATGATCACTGGGATGGAAGTGACGATAATGATAACAGATGTTAGTATTTTCATCTCTGCTCTACTATTCCTGCAGTGCTAAACTGTATTTAGTTAAATGAGGATGATTCCGACTATTTTGAATTGGTATTACCTCAAGCTCTCTCATTTAATTCAATTTATTGGAATATGTCAATGCGTCTTCGCATCCAAACATGGCATTTTGTTTGCAAAAAGTTAAATTTTGCTTTTGCCCTTACTTAAATGCGCACCCAATCAGAATGTAATGGATCGTCCTGTATTCACAATCCACTGCAATGATTGCTGGTTAACAGGGCACTTAATAGCTAAACTTGGCCATTTTTAACACCAAATGCACAAAGTAAGCAATAAAGACTAAATTATCTCTCATTTGAACCGCATTTTCACCATTATTAAATGATTAGAAATGTGACGTTTAAAACGACATTTAATGGAGTTTCCCTAGAAAGAAACCAGTTAGAAAAGAATGGACGAAGCTAGCGTGTATTTGTGCAAAAGTATTTGAGGAGGTAAAGACATTAGATTGCTGTTCATTAACTGTTCGAAAGATAAATCGGATTGACTTTGATTTCTTTGGACGTGGAGCCAAGCGTCATAGAAGTCAACTGAGACTATTTTGAATAGTTTATCCCTTACAAAGTGTAGATACGCTATCCTTAAGTCACAATAATTTAAAAAAATTCTTTGTTATTCAGGCTTTTTTCTGCCATCATCTGATTCGCACTACTAACGTTCAATTTTAGTATGGTTTAGTAAAACAGAATGTAAGTGTTCTGCTTAGCGAAACTTACATAATCCTGATAAAACTCTGTTTCCTGCTTCATTTAATAATTGAAGACTTATTACAAAGCTACTTATTGGAGAAAAATTTGAGAGTTCTAAAAACATTCTTCCCTCTAAATTATCGAACCGAAACAGCTGCAGCAACTAATCTCAGAATACCTGCACTGGTAAAGTGGTAACGGGAAAGAGCACCATTGAAAATGTTTCACCCTTTCTTCACACGCGTGTAATCACAGTGGTGAAATTTATTTCATAATTCTGTTCACATGATGGGTAGTGCCATTTAAGGCAGTTTGGAAGTTTCATGGTTCCAAACGTAAAAAATCAAAGACCAACAAATCGAAAATAGCTTACGCATAAAAGTGTCAATTGTAGAAAGAGATGAATAGTGATTTAAAAGTGGAAGTGGTGGTAGAAGTAGTGAATGTTTCGAAACTGAACACCACTAGTAAAATTATGGTTAGATATGTTCCATCTCTTATGTAAAATTCGCCCTAATTGTAGGTACCTAACAGATTCTGAAGGCTGTAAAACCTAGTGGCAGTAAGGAAGGGCTGCATTCAAGATAAAAAAAGTACCAACTCGAAAGTCTATACTCAACACTATATAGGGATATATTCTCACTTAACTTTGTGATGTTGTCAACCGCTTTATTCGGTAAGTTTAATTGAACCGTTTTTAAACCGGTTTGTTTCATCCACAAAGCTTTGCTTTCTTGCTTCATCCACTTTTCATTCTTTTATAAAATATCACAGTCATTTCAGTTGGACAAGTAAGCGTAAGGAATAAAAAGGACGTTTGAAAATCTTTAATTTATCATGTGACACAAGCACGGTAAAACCAAGTATAGTTTCCTGAAATTTTTGATTTTATGCTTTATATTGAATAATTCAAATCATTATTTATTATCCTAATTTCCCCAATATAACTTTTTGATTGGGAGAAGTTAAAGCAAACAAATCAAAGCAATTTATTTTTATGCATATTATACTTTTAACCATTGAGCCTACCTGCATTATAATCTTCGCCGCGTTTCTGTTACTTTAAGTTTCGCGTTCTAAACTCCTGGTTAAAAGTGCAAAACAGGTGGCTGAGCCATTACTCTTAGAATAATGGTGAATCGCTAAAACTTGATCCTAGCTTATCTTTAAAAAGAAGCTAATTTCGTTGTGCTTGGATTTTTTTTGCCTAAAAATTGGATTCTGTTTTCTTTTTCAGTGTCTTTTTAACATTCCATTTACCGCTTACTTTTATTTCCCCTTTGACAGATGTCAAGCAGAACAAGGAAACTAGTTCTTATGGTCAACGCCAATCCAAGTTAGCACTGGCCTTTTCATGATTGGTTCACACCCATGCCACCTTTGTTTTTTTTTTGTGAACTATTTCTATTTTTAAATGCTTTAAACTTACTACTTCGTTTATTAACCTAATGGTTGGCAATCCATGGTAATTTTCAAATATATTGAAAGCAAGGGTATTTTTCCGATGGGGAATATGTGTATGTGATTCCTGAGTGTTAACGACTAAGTACGTAGGCTTCTCTAGTAAAAGTACACTCTTTGGATTTATTATGGTGTTGCACTTAACGCCTGAAAATTATTCATATTTGACCCATAGTGCTGATATTTTCATACTAAATGGTGGATCACAGATCAACGCCTGAGTAATTTACTACATAAAGTTTTCATCTTGATTTGATGCAAATCGAATCGGATAGGACCTTACAACATGTCATCATTAACGGTTAAATATCTTAATTAACCTGCTGTGAATTCAGCTGCCCCGTAGTAGTGTAAGCAGTCCCAAAAGGCAGCTATAACGGTGAAAGTCCCAGGCATTTACGGTACCCATCTCAGGACTGGTTTTCAAGTGTTGAGGTGCACTGCAGGCACACATTTTGGTTCTGAATTTACAAGACAAAATGCTAACTTGAATGAAAATGATGTGTCTTTTACAAAGTGTTAAAAATGGATTTAGTGGGTGGTTTTCAACCCACCCATATGATTAAATGTCAGAATTAAGGTATGCAATTCGTGTCAGCACTGTGAAAAACCTTAAAAGATACAGCGTGAGCTTGGCTGAGTCACCGCTAAAATATCTGATTTCCCTTGTCTTGTTACCTATGCAAGCAACTGTGCCAAGATTGTGTCATGCAAACACTTTTGAGACATTCCGATTTCAAAAATTGTGGTGCTCAAAATCAGGTTTTGCCTAGGATTTTGGGTCTTTTTATTAAATGGAGAAATCATAGAGACTTTTGCTCTCTATCACCATAGTATTGTTAATAAAACGGTGTTTTGGCATAATTGTTCCCTCATGTGATGAGTTTACGATACATTTACGATACAAATACCAGAAAATGATTTGTAGAATAGTGTGTTAATGAGTTAACAGTCGCATGGCTCCCACGTAGGATTACAATTTATTTCAACTTTCAACACAGACCTACATGTAACCGTATAATTCTGGATGCAAAGAGATATTTATCCCGTAAAAAGCAATCTTCCCCAGCACTTTATGAGCATTCTAAAGTTAGGCAAGAACCTTTTTGAATGCAACAGAACCATGTAAATATTGCGAAAACCTCGAGAATAAGACGGTCGTTTTCGCGGTTTCATCTGTGCGATTCAACATTGTTCACCTGTTTTGCCTCGGCTGAATAATCAGGTACTTTTGCTTTGCAATAACGTATCCACCTACAATGTTCTCGAAACTTGTGAATTCTAATTACATAATTAGCTGGCAAGCACCATTCTTTCTCCTTGATCAAAATCGCCAAAAGGAATCATTCAGGAGTTCGATATTTCCACAAAGGTAAGTTGCACCGCTTCCCGACTTTACGAAGGACGGTGACGAATGTGAATAGCTCTCTCCGAATTGCAACGCCCTTGTTACTTTGCATTAGAGAGTTTAAACCTCATCGTTATACTTTAAAGTTGAGAGGTATTGCCTAGTTGCATGTAATTCGCTTACCACACGTGTTAAATGGGTGTTCAAACATTCCACATTTAATCGATCCAAATGGACAGGAACCCTCTAGCCGAGCTTGTTGGTGGAGGAAAGGTTTGTCGCTGCAAATAAAGTTTTAACAACTGTTTACTTACAGCGAACTAAATATAATCCATGCTTTTTCGATGTTTTAGTGATTGATGACATTTATGAGAGGGGCATGAATTTTTTATTTATAAAAGCTAGGAACATAAGGCTTTATTCCTATTGGTTAATGTGCGAATTTTGTAGACTTTATCTATTGTGTTTCATTACTTCTATTAGTTTTTCCTTTTACCTATTTTTTATTTTTGTGGTCTTCTCTTTTTTTACATTGTGCACTCGAATCTCACTGATGAAATGAATACCTAAAATTCCACAATTTCAAGCGCTGCTTAGTTAGTCAGTTGGCAAGATGTCTATATTCCTGCTTTGAATAATGGATCTACAAAATGCGCTCTATAGAATCTTAAAAATCAGTTAAAAATTTTTCCGTGGTAATAAGTCCTTACTAATTTGCCCCCCAATACATTCTGTTACTTTAACATTACATGTGTAACATGTTCTTCACCTTTTATCATCGAGTTCGACCTTAGAATATTTTATATCGAGTTGTGATGCTGACTTGGTTGGGACACGAGTTGCGGCTGACTGGTCATTGATTACAAAATCGAGGCATTGAATGCTTGGGAAAGGTTGGACAGTCCTACAACAAAGTTTGAATGGATTAAGAATTGTTTAAAGTTCCGTGTGATCCTTTGCACTCTTATTAAACTGTTGACACTGCTACTCTACCTTTAGTTCAAAATTCTAAATCATTGTGATTCACATATTTTGAAGTACTAGTTTTCGTTTTTTTAGCGCAGATATGAGTGAATTTCGAAATTCCCCTACTATCTCAAAAGTGGTGTAGAAGCTGCAGTTTTCACGCAAACATAACCTTTACCCGTAATGTGCTCTGTAAGTAGATATGGAAACTTCGGGTTGCTGTGAGGTTAACCATTGAAACCACGGAGGGTAGGTCGACTCGGGTCAAATCCACATTTGTTCCAACATCGTATAGAATTTATAGGATAGAAGAGAACAATAACTGGCTCTTTCTTTACCTTTGCAGGGATCCAATGCACACACATGGATTTGTCAAAATCCAGTTGATTTTATAAATACCCAAATATCAGATTTTTTCACGACTTACTTCAAAATTCACGTCATAAACTCTTGTTTCTTCCAAGCCTTCAACAAGATGGAATACGGATCCCCTGAGACAAATGAATTGATAAAATTTGCAGAAGACACAATGGATATGCTTGGGAAGGAGCCCAGGAATTTCTTATGGACCGTCATTAAACTTTGGGAAGAATATTATCTTAGAGCGGCTAGGAATCTCATGACGAAGTTATCGAGTATGCATTTATTCCAATGCACCATAAATTTACTACGGAGAATAACACCGAATGAAGGTATGAGTGAAAATAAGCTTCTCGAGGGCATTGCCAACGCTTGGTTTGAAACCAATATGCATAACATTATGGAACAGTTAAATGTTCCCTGTAATAATGGATTTAAACACGTTTTTATCGGGGAACAGTTCCTTCAATCGGTATCAGGATTGCATTGCGGAGGTAGAGCATTTCTTCTTTTCAGCAACAATAAGCTGCATGTGGAAGAGATATTAGCTAAACATAATGCATACAACCTTGTCTCATTTTCGTTTCGGTGGGACAATGTAAGGAAGAAATTGAACACCATTTTCTTTGGGCTTCCAATCGAATTCGAATTGTTACTTTTCTTTATATGTAGTGTTCAATCCGTAAATGGCATTTTCAAACTAATGCTGGATCAAAGCGAACTCGCTATTAAATCCTGTAAGGCAAACAGCCGGATACGCACTGTTTATTTCAAGCTGTAACTGCAAATGAATTATATGCCCTCATCAATTGGAATGGTAAATGTAATAAAATTATTGCGCTGACTTAATTTCTAACGCAATTATAAGTTAGATGTTTTATGCCTAATTTCAGACATAAGAAATCAAACAATGTTTTAAATAAAATACTCTAAGAACCAACAATAAGCCAATACATTGAATTTACCTATGCTGCAAATATCGAAAACATTATCCATTATTCACCTGCCTTAGGGTGTGTTATAGGTTTATTTCTCTCAAAATGCGAAATAATTCCACGTAAACTAATAACTCCATCACTCGTTTAGGTAGGACACTATCATTTTTATGCGTGACGTGGACATATGTTGAACCACCGCCTATGGGTTCAATTAAAAAAGTTTTCGAAAACTTTTAGATTACTGGCAACGAGTAAGTGTCAGCTGCAGCGCCTCGAGACCTCCCTGAAGTCTAAAGAAGATGTAATTCTCGAAGAGAATATGTATATCACTAAACAGCAGAGCTTGGTACCACTGGCACAGCCCGAAGGCCAGCCCACCCGACGAAGGTGCAGTGGCGGAGCGCTTAATGGTTCACTTTACCAAAACCGGTAGCAAAACAAACAGCCAACGTATATCACAGCCATGCGATAAGATTGTATCGGAAAACCTCATTCAGACCACGTAACGCACGGCCAAGGTTAAAATTTGATTTTAAAAGATCAAAGTAACTTCACAATTTTTGAAACAAAGATTAAATCTAAAGCAATTTTAAAAGCAACGTGTTATGCTATCAAGTGATAGGTTCATTGTTTGCTTAGCGACCGGTTTTGGCAAATTGCCACTTCGTCAATCGTCGTACCTCGCCTGGTGGGCTGGCCTTTGGACCATGCCAGTAGCTTTAATACCTTCTGTATGTCTAAAATACATATTCTACCCAAGTATTGTCTCCTTTGGTCTTTAGAGAAGCCTCAGAGTACTGTGACCATGTAACATCGTTACCAAATATTCTTGAATCTGTAATCGTTGCGTAAAGGAGGTTGAGAGCCAAGGCAACAAAACTCTTCGGTGTTTAAAATTTCGCTTAAAAATAAAGAAAAATTCACTGGAAGGTTACCGTCAGTTCTCCCAGATTTTATATCTAGAGCTTTAGCAATGAAAAGTGGGCTACTTGAATCTTCTTAGTGCGACAACAAATAAACAGAAAAATTATCCGAATTAGCAATTAAGACATAGGTGATAGTGGCCTCCAAATACTTCATTTTGATAGACGATGATACCTTAGACAATTCGCAATGTATAAGTGCTTCACCCAGTGTTTGTTTATATGAACCTTTTTATCACTGAATTTTTCGGAGGCTTGTGAGAATAGCTAGGATGTCCTTCAGAGAATACACTGTCACTCTAGTAATGTGTCCAATACTATGCTAACTTCATAGGTACTGCAAGAATCCGAGATAGAGGAGACACTTCAGGCTTTTCTGCACACAGTACTATTGCATCGAACATTTCCAACGGTAAACAATGCCAGTCTAATTTTTTAGCTCAGTTTTAAAGATGGAGCTGTCAGTTACACATCTTACATAGGGATTGAGGATGTCGACTGCAAAACCATTGACCTGACTTACGTAAGCAAGCCGACCCTGACCTTGTGCTTATTACTATTCACGTACATATGTTTCTCATTGAGGAACAAATGCAACCGGCCTTATCTGTTCTCATACTTATCTAACATCACCCTTGTCATAGGTTAAGGTAGCATCGGATCCTCTGCATGAACGCATAGCTGGCCACGTTGCGATGTTAGCAAAAGCCCTCCGTGGAGACTCCGAAAGTAGATGCGATAAACCTCCGAAAGGTTGCATTACACTGGCGTTTGTCGCTAACCGTAAGGGTAGTTGGGTGCTCGGATGTGAACCATCAGTGTGGGAGCGCTGGGTCTTTAATGTCGAACTGCAGTCAATAACCTCGAGTACGTCCCTCGTTTTTTTCTTTTTCCTTCATAAATGCACTCACCCACTGCCTATCTTTGCTTTCAAGACGGTGTAGAACGTCGTCAGGAATTAGCAGCACAAATCAAAGGGGAATTACTCTACGTCCTTGACTGCATTAATACATCTGAGAATTCCTTACCCGAACTGGGAAGTTCCCAATCCGAATGCGATACCGTCATCGACTTCTCCATGCCGGAGGTTTCACCCTATCGGTTCAACCTAATACACTTCCCTGAAGCAACACAAATAAAGCAGAATAAATCCTCAGGAATACGGCGATTTTAGCCTCCCCATGGTGATGATGAAATTTTCCACTGTGGTATGATTATTTGTTCGACTTTTATTATCGATGTGTGACAACAATTATAGATGCATAGTTTTCGTTATTTCAGTTTCCACTGATTTTCATGCGTCCTGCCGGCAGTAAGGCGTCATCAGAGTATTACAGTGCAGTTGTACGTTTAATATCCAGACGCTTACATTTGATATTTCTGCGCTTATTCGAGACAGAACCGTATACTTGGTAGTGTTCAACCCTGATGTGTGATCACGTAGATGTGTCGTCTATAAGGCAGCATACGTTAACGGATTAGCCTCAGATAACAAATGCCTTCGTCAGTGGTTTTTAACGCAAAGGCTGCACAAAAACTGGCCAAAAGAAGTTTTAAAATTCTAAGTTAGCTAATATTAAAGGCAGAAGTTGCGGCCTTCTCACCTGGGTATCATATGGGCTTCTCTCACGTTTGTAAGTCTCCGAATGGAGGTGCTGGAACTTTGGGGCAATAACCGTTGGCTTACGCTCAGACTGTATCTGTAAAAACAATTTTAGAGTTTAGAAAAAATACTTGGCCAAAGAAATTGCGTACCACTAGGTTTGCCGCACGCATCCTAAGTCCGAATTCATCGTCTTCTCGACCCCATCCCCAAAACCGATTTGAAAAGCCATTAATTAGTTTATACGACTCACGGGATATAATTATGGCACCTCCTGTGTACCTGGAATATGCGTAGTATAGTGGATGCATCCAGTATGGTATGAGGTGATAAGGATACCGACCGTAGTGTTCGTATTTCAGATCATCATCTATGGGGAGCAGGTCAACATCGTGTAAAGCAATCATTGAACAAGCAGGCTGAGGTTGGGTCCACCCTGATACAGAGGATTCAAAGTACTGCGATTCCATGATTTCAGATTCCTTTACACCGACGTTTAAGAGGGAACCACGGTTAAACCTTATGGAGAGAGAAGAATTACGTTTCAATACTCCAGTTTCATTGAAGCACACTTCTAAAATTCGATAAAATGTGAAGCTCCTAAGCCACCACCATCGCCGGTGTTCGAATATAGGAGATACGCCACTAGAGACAAGAATATAAGGGCATTTTAGAACCTGCTGTTGGTAAAGTAGCGTCATGATCCCCTTCGATGCATATGGAAAACGACTCACTCCTCAACGTACCATAGTCAGGTATAATGAAAGTGGGTTCAACTATCAGAGGAAGCCATTGATCAGAAAGAAATAATAGTGAACCTGATGGACATTAAGAACAAAACAAGGTTAGAAAGATAAGACACCTGTAATCGTCCGCCTGATTCACGATGTAGAAGGTGTGAGGAACCCCTTTTCGATTTAGATATTGATGCATGTGAGGAAGGAAAAAAAGAAGATTGGTAAAGCGATCCCTAAATGGAACGACGATGGCAAGAGTGTGATTGACTGAGATTTTAGCTGTTGGTTTGCAATCTGGTTGAATAATTTTCCATGTGGTCAGAATCAATATAGACGTCGCGAGAATGGGTAAAACATATTTCTGAAAAAAAGGACAGATTGCCGGGTATGAGCAAGCACAGAGTTACGTCAAGCGGTGGAAGCGTTCCTCCAGCGCGAGTATATGTTGGCTTACCTTAAATGGCCGCAGGGGACACATTGAATGACGGGTTTTGAAACCGCTCTTCCTATTGGACCTATCGAATACGAAAAAGAAAAATGAAGCATTTTACACAAATAATGGTACAGCCTAGAAATCAATCTGCGGCTTAGCAAGAAGGCAGTGCGCACATCTTCCGAGATAACATCATATGCTGGGAAAGCAAGTGGGAATTCGGATAGGGTCTCGCCTATTCTGATTCCCACAATTTTAACAAAATAACTGCACCAGCACAAATAGACAGACGATCACAGAAAAAAAAAACATTTATTCCCAAAAAGTAGGTGTGGTATTTAATGCATTACCACGCATACAATATTAGTGAGGTCTCAATTTTCAATCACCGAACTGGTCTCATTTGCCACAGGCCATCGTTCAGATAATGCAAAGTTTCCACACCAACACTCTTATTAATATCAAGCCTAAAAAGGAAAATGAGTAAAATAGATTGAATAAGAGGCATGGAAACACAAATCCGAGGTACATTTCGTCAGTTGACAGTGTTGTAACACCGACGGCCACAGCGTGCTCTTTCCCTTCAGCCATTATTGCTACGACAGTATTCGCGGGCACATTACACAACTTAGCTCCTGGAGAAGTGAGACCAGGACACATTATATTGGATCCGTTTAAAACGTGTTTAATAGCACCACGGTCTACTTGTAATTGGGGAAGGAGAAACGGATCTACAAGCATTAAATAAATTTCCAGTAACAACCAGACGCCATCGGTTTATCTGAAAGGGAAAACAACATAAATAACGATTACATTTATGCAAAAGCCTCAACGACGGTACAAAAGGGCCATCACGTTGACGAAAGAATATCACTTCACCAGACGGATCCGCAAAAAGTTCAATGTGCTCATGACTGGAATCGCTAACAGCAAATGCAATTATACCATTTAAGTAGCTTTAGTGGTTCCTTCTTTGGTAAAATGTTATCAAGGTAGTCCTTTGCGACTTCGAAGTTTTCTGTAACTCTACTCCTTATAGTCTTGGATACGGAGTTTTTCGCTGTATTCACAGAGGATATATTTTCTTTTTCATTAAATCTTAAAAAAAATACGGTGAACGAGTCGAAACAACGCACTTCTTAAACATAATAGGTGACAGAGGTGCGACTTGGTCAAATGGGCCAGTTAAGGTCACTACATAGTAGAAGACCAATCGTTTACTAGCAAGTTACATAAAAGTTATTTATAAAAGCCATTAATTTTTTTTACATAATAGGATACAGTCTTATTTCGCATTTCTAAGCACACACTCTTTACAATCAACTTGACAATAGACATTTTAAAAAGTTTGAGTCCTACGTGTTGCACCAAATGATAGTTCAGCTATACACCAGGGTTAAAAGAATTACAAATTAAACCAAGAACAACCCTTGTCAATGCCTATTTATTGGGAATAAATTTAGCATCTCTCTAAGTGACACAGCGTGGGAGACCCAACCTGCTTGTACCTCATCATCCCGATCACCTGTCCCATCCGATTGCCGAGGAAATTTAGCAAAAACACGAATCCATAAGAGAGTACCTCTCCTCACCAGTACTAAATTCTGCGGGGGCGAACACCCATAAAGACTGACCACCACCCCACCTACACGCCAGAAGGGACCACCAAACCTCACCCACCCCCAGACCGGTTGACCGAGACCAATCCCAATCGAAGAAGTAATGAGGCAAAACACCACATCTACATTAATAAAGGCTCCAAAAACAGCAAATATCATCGTAGTGAAGGAATACCTCTTTCTTCGTGGTATGAAGAGATATGCAGGCTTGAAGCGAATGATCATTGCGCTTGATTAGTCTGCCACTTTCACCCAAATATTGCCCCCGAATAACGACTACCGACTCCCCCAAACGCTTTGGGACAGTAGGTTGCAGTTTACTTTCATGGATATCTATAAAAGCAGCAAACTTCAGTGACAAGGTTATTTATCAACATGCACTTGCATAGCCTAATGCAGAACAGCAGAAAAAATAGCGTGGAGGCAAAATTGCACAATGCTGGAAAATGGAAAAAGAGTCTAAATTCATCTGGCTCCATAAAATAACATTAGAAAATCACGGAAGTAATTTAAGAAATGTCGTTAGCTTAGAAAACTGTCAAGAACTAGGCATATGCTACTACAAGCAACTTTAAAAAATAGTATCAAGTTCCAACAAGGTACTACAATCTGGTATTCTGCCTGAAGGTATAGATTACAATGCGAAGACCCATGTAGTATGGAGGAAACTGTGGCAAATGCAAGATCTTTTCTAGAAAGTTGGAAATCTGAACAATCATGATACGGTAAATCTGATTTGAGTCCATGTAGACACTGTCAATCCGAAAAAGTGGTCACTCAACAAGTAAATCGTGCAAAAGCTTACGTCGTAAGACACGGCCACCTTCCGTTTCACACGAGCATCGATAAGGATGAGATTGAGACCCAGAAACAGACATTATTTTGATCTAGTGTAGACGAAGAGCAAATTGAACAAAAGTAACAAAAAGGTGGATTAGATATAATGAATCTACTAGGAGACCATTTTAACTGTGGTCCCACCAATTGTACACCCAAATCACAGAAAATGCTTTGTAGTTCTTGACAAGACACGTAATAACGAAGCAGGGCATCGACAGAATAAAAAGATTACTGGAAGGCAAATATGGTAACACAAAAACCCAAGTGCAGTACAATGTACATTATTTAAAATATCTGTTGTTTATCAATAAGAAATACCTTTTGCAAGTAGTACTTGCTCCCTTTGTCGAGATAACGCACAATAAGACCTCTCTGGAGCCAAGTCGACCGATGGCCGCTAAAAGGTATTAAGTGAGTAAAACATAAAACACGCAAAACAGTTTATGAAAAAGAAAACCAACGATACTGACCAATTTGCTATATCTTCCTTTTTCCGCTTTGTGGGACACGCTTTCACTGTACCTTCACCCTGACCGCCTTCTCTGTTCATGCGACACTGAATGGAATCCTCGTTAGCCATCTCAGCTTTGCACTGTTTTGCCCCAGCCATATCTATCAACAGCGAAAAATAATTTCTGGAACTACTGCGAGTAGAGATGGCATGTTTGCAAAAATATAGCCAAGCACAAATTTTCAAGTGATTTGCTTGACCTATCACAGCTTCTTTATGCGCTTAATATGAGAGCAAAGCTGAAAAATGTACAGACTATGTCAATCCTCAACAGTTGCAATTTAAATAAAGCAAACTGTATACAAAAAGAATGGCATCCAATCCCGTATGAGTGAGAAATACAAATAATAATAATAGTATCAGTAATACCAATTTGCTATCGCACAAGAATATGAAGAAAACCTCTTCACATTCAACAGGTTTCACTTCAAGACTAAGGCTTTAAATGAAAACAAGCAGAAATAAGAGGGCATTAAAAAGCAAATATCGTGACACTCAGAAACTGGGTGAAGTGCTGAAAGAAACAAGGAGTTAAGTGCAATGTATTTGCTGCCATAATATTAAAAAAGCAGTAAGAGCACAGATAATGAAACAACTCATTGTGGTAATACCAAGGTGCATGCCCTTGGTACCTGCAGGCGTTTAAGCACAAGCGAACCTTACCTAGATAATGTCCGAAATTCTCGAATTCAGCATATGACACAAGACGCACAGCTGCTTGCATTATTTTAACAATTTGTTTGGTTGCCGTAAGTTGGACGACAACACGTCCTATGTCGCCATCCACACCTTGTATCTACAGTGAGCACAGAAACTTAAGGTTTATTGACGCAATGCGCAAAATGCAAGGACTGCAATGAACTCACAACTCCATATTGACCATCATTGCGGCCGTAAACTATTTGACATTTGGCTCCTACCTTCCAAACCAACTTTTCACTATCTTCACCCATCATTTTCCTTGATTTCAGAAGCACTTTACGATCAGCGCCAAGACCGAGACCTTTCAGACGTAATTTAGCAGCGAAGCGCCTAGAAGAATACTAGGTAAGTCCTACAACAGGGTTTACTCTGAAGTGCGCTGCTTGATGTCATCTTCTTTCAAACCCATTCCCTTCAGCAAAGCTAGTCCAAAATGTTCAACAGGAACCTGATTATAATCAGGATCAACGACGTCTTCGATAGTTAAAACGTCTTTCTCCGGTGGTCCAGTGACAATACTAACTTTGGTCGACGGCGCTATGCCCATGCCGCTTAAAATTTCTAACGCGGTGACATATATGTAGACATTACCTGAAGAGGATGACTTTAAAACCTCAGCAGTCAAATTATCAGATTTCTTTTTTGGCTGCTCAAATATCTTTGAACAAGATACCCGGAGTGGAATAACGAGCTTTTTATCGGGAAGAACTGATTCGCTGAATTTACAAATATTAATAGCTGAAAACACGGGCACATCCATTTTGATAGTATGTTAAGTAAATTCAAAAAGCCATATGGTGGCGCAAAATATCCAAGACTTCAACGTGGATAGGATTTGAACACAAAAAATATTAAATGCTTAGCCAGTGCTAGGCAATGAAAAGAAGGTGAGTCGACAATTACCATTGTGGGGTGCAGCTGTCAAAGGATGTGACGTAGTCAATAGAAGTTTCTTTTGTTTCCGTTTCATCCGACAATTCTGAAGGCGGCAGCAATTTGGACTTGTATGTGGACCTGTTAAAACCAAACGAAACCCTTCCAGCCTCACTCATTTTATAAAACGGGGTAATAGGTCACCGGTTGGTTCAAATAAAGCATTAGAAGTGTTGGGTAACACAAACAATCTAGCAAAAATTCACAATTATTAGTAATCGAAATGTTTTTTGATAATTTAGAAGCCAGCATATATTTTATAAATTTTGAAGTAGGATCAGTGCAACATTTAAAGCACGAAAAGATAGAGTCCAATCTGAATAACTATCAACTCACAAAGAACTACATTCTAACCGTTTACTGGGCATTGCAAGTTGGTTGTTCCAACGAAATTGAAAAATCGTAACCCCAATTGCATAACACCCAATGAGGTCGCACCCGCCCGCAGCAGTGAAGTCGCTGGAAATGGGCACAAACCACCCGCAGGCTTAATGCGTTGGCGGCCCTGCATCAGACACGGCTCTAAGGGAAATAACACCACCCCCACACAACATGGTGCTAACGCATCGCTGCACGCAAAATAACGGAACAAAGCCCACGACCCCGAGCAAAGACGAACGCCTAGTCAGCGCAGCACAAAAACGAGAGCTCGTGTGACCCAACGGCCGAAGCGAAGTTTGAGAACCCCAATGATAACATTAAACAGTTTTAAGAAAGGTCTGCTTTATTATTTGTCTCCATATTTACTCAAGAGCTCATCGCAAATTTTCGTCAGTTCAGTATTCTCCCGAACCTATAAATGAAGGTAAAGCTGTAGTGTTAACCATACGCATCTTTCCAACATCAAAATATGTCGATATATGTTAAAAATTGCGAGGGAAAAATGCAAACTATATTTTGTGCCAAAAAATATTTTAAGGGAAAGCGCTCTGATTCATGTTCAACGATTCCCAAAAGTTGCTTAAAATAGGCCATGACTTTGCATAACGTTACCTTCTGTTCCAGTTGGGATTCAAGACTGTGAATCCTTAGTTCAGAGCGTTTAATTGCTGCCCGAAGTCGAGTCACTTCATCTTCATTTGCACGCTTTGCCCTCTCGGTCTCCTCAGCAATTCTAACAAATTCGGAAAAACGCTCGAATTTAAAAATAATAAAGATGATGAATGTGCGCCAAAATCACGAAACCTGGAAATCCTGCAAAGTAATATGATTGGGTTATCATGTATTACAACTGATTAGTCTTCACTACGAGGTGAATCAAAGTATGCAAGATTTTGCTCAAAGTTAATTACAACCTATGTGCTTAAAAAGAGATGCGTCTCAAAATACTGTTGTATTCTAAGTATGGCTAAATTTCTGATTAATTCAACCTTAATAGCATCACAAAACAGAAATCAGCTCATGTAAATAGAAATGTGACATACTTTGTAAGTTGCTGTTCAGCGTGCACCTTGAGAGCTTGGTACCTTTGTTCCTGTCGTTTTAACTGATCCTGATATTCTTGTGCTGCTCTCTTCAACGTTTCTTCGTTCTAGATGGACAATAATTACGGGTGCGTAGACAGTGAACGTCTTAGAGTAAATTTCTATTGATTCCAATGGCAAATGCCTTATAGATCAGATTTGGAACGACAGCACAAACTATGGGCATTTATGACTAGGTGACTAAGTATCCGACTTTCGACTGGAAACAGTTAATTAAGAGATTAAAAGATAGAGCACCTACCGCTTTAAATCCTGCAATTATTTGCTTAGACTTTTCAAATCGACGATGAAGATCACCGAAAGCCTTTTCAATTGTAGAGATTTCTTCAATAGCTTGGTCACGTTCCGATATTATATCGATTACAGATTCCTTGGCAGACTCTTCCGCGCGCGCCTTTTCCTCGGCCAGCTGACGCAAACTCCGCTCGTACTCAGCAATGCATCGCCTACGGATGAACAAAAACGCATTTTAGATTGGTGATTGATAAAACTGCTACCCTATACATCCTACCTTACCATAATGCAATGCTTGTTAAGTTGTAATGCAAGAGAAGACAACCAGGTTAAATACCAGTATTAAAAAAAACAACCAAGCTTTAAATCGTACACAGTAAACGACCTTGGTGCATCTTAAATTGACTCTTGGGGCTTGTAAGATGATGACCCAACGCGTGAGCTACGCTAGTAGCAACAAACATGCTGCCCAAATAAGGAAGAAAACAAATCCCCAAACAATGAGGCAACTACGTGCACAATAACTAGTTATTCATGCCACTTTTGGGCAAATAACAGCAGTACACCACCCAGCTTTGAAAAGAAACCGTCTACAAAAGTGCACGAATGAATTCAACGAAAAGGTAGGAGCTCGCCCCAATTGAAATACCGGGAAAGTAGGAGCCTTTTACATTTCATCACAAGAACAATGCAGATCTTACTGAACGAAACCGAATCACACGCAGAGTAAGTTAATTATGTATTAAACGGTAGAGCGTAAAGGCAAGAAAATATGTGGCTGTTTCCATCACACTCAAATCGATTAGCACATCCCCTATTTAATGGCACCTAAGAAAAAGGGAGACATTTCGAACAACTGAGAAAAAGCACAAGTACTAGGTGATTCGAAAACTCTGGTCGAATACCTAACCATGACATTTACTAAACCTAAACTTCAAGCACATAGATGGTCAAGCAAAGGAGTTTCGAAAACAGAAGTTTACACGGGCACGATGCGGGAATATAAAAGTAATGCAATCATTAAAAAAATCGCACTGCATGTCGGCAACAATTGTAGTAAGATGCTCTTTGTCGGCACGTAAACTGGCCAATTCTTCGTCGACGGAGAGTGGGACCTCGGATTCGGCTTCAGGTAGAGGCGAAGGATTTCCAGAGGCCAGATCAAACGTTGCGGCCGAACTGTTGCTGTTATGACGCGAGTGACCTTCGTGAGTGAAGTGACCATCTACTGGCTGTTATATAAAAGAAACAGTATCATTACAACCTACATTTAAAGCTACCTCATCAGGCTATGCATTCAGTCAGTTTTAATTACCTAATAAGCATTCGCATGGTTATGCAATTTGGCATAAAAAACAAAGCCATTTGTTGAGCAAATTAAAAGATCCTGCGACCTTAAAAACCATCACTAGCTAACGATTCGAGTATGACAAGTCCGAAAATTAGACACTAATACTATAATAAAAGCTATAAAAATAAATGAACATTCACCGCGAAATAATCACCTCAAGTTGTCTAATTGGAGATGGGCGTAAGGATAAAAGTGCTCTGGTATGGATAAGATGTATAAATCGAATGCATGAGCAGAAAGCCCGCCTAAGACTAAAATCAACAGATGCATGACAGCTTACAAAATACCAACTATATTCCAAGGGGCATAACTTACTTCTTGTGTTGAAAAGCTGTCAGGGGGTCTGAAAACCAACAAACAATATCCAGCTGTATTATAATGGATCATTAGAGTCAAGTGTCACAACTATACAACCCCCAAATCTAAATATTCAAGGCCTATCATAAAATAAACACACTAAACTGTTCCAAAATAGCCTAGTCATTAATATGCACTGTTTTAATGGTAGAAGATAATGCAGCTAGAATGACATCCCAGCTTCCGCTAGTAAAATCAAACTTACGAAACATCCGCGATGTCCGGGACATGAGTCTCCGCATTGGGAGCTAAATAAGGAAGTGATGTCAAAATTTAATAAAAATAATGAACAGAAAAAGATTGCACATCATACCAATCTATCGGAAACTACTGATAAAAACACGATTAATCGGGCCCAAATGAGTTTCCACGTATTGGTCATATCTCCAACAAAAGTTTCTATATTAATACCTTCGAAACGTAACTGGAATAATAATTGATGGATTAAAACCCTCGGAGACGGTAGTGCTGGTTCCTGTTACGTTTTTTTCGCCTAAATACATTTAGTCTCGGCATGAAGATTCCAGAAGACACAGCTACAGGACCGTTAATAACTTCCGAAAAGATATCGCTTGAGATACTCCTACTGTCCACGCTACTGCAGTAGTTTATACCGACATTACAACTCCCAGTTTAATCTAAATGACACGAAGCTAACGCTACAAGAACGTTACATCAAGTTATTACAAGACTTTTGTGCTTGGGTATTGAAATTCAGCACTCCTCTGCGATGTCTTACTATTGACAGAATATGACGATTCTGCCTCTTTGACAAAGCTCGGGTCTTGTTTCAATCTCATAGTTGGCAGACAAAACTTCAGTTTTTGCCGAACTGACTCGCTATATGATTCTATTTTTTCGTGGCACCAAAAATGGAATTTTAGCTAACTTACTTCCACCAAATACCACAATTAGATCAAAAAGATTTGTAGCTAAATTGACGTGCTTCAAGTTTATAACATAGTCAGAGGACTTGTCCACTTTACTAAAGAGAACGCAGTGGAGTGGTCGTCAAAATGACTAAAGAAAAAAGACTAAGTTATTAAATATAGTTGAAGGGTAGAAAAGCTACGAGAAGAAAAAAGAAAAATGGGGCCGAAATATAGAAATGCGCCAAAAATCGTAATTAAATATGGCGTCGGTAATGAATTCAATTACAGCACTAGCATAGGGTAATGCTAAACTGGTACACAAAACCGCAAACTCAGCATCAGCCCCCACTAACAAGCATTTATCTTACACCCGAACAATTTGCGCAAATGCAAAAAGCATAGACGTTTATCAGATACCACTTGTACGTTTTTAAAATAAGAATAACTTGGAATCAATCAGAGCACTCAAATAACGATGTAAAATAAAAGGTAATCAAAGCGATAACGAAACTATGTAACCTGGGAGGGTGCTAAGTAAAATTTTTCTCATACAGTTAAAAGCCTAACGGTGGAATGCAGGGCTGTGTAAAAAAATATCAGACCAAAGTGCTAATCACACGAAATCTACTTCGGGTGCAAGATAAGCCCCGGATTTAAATTGGCACTATTTTAACAGGAAAGAAACACATACCAGAATCATCCAAAATACCCCTATTACTGACATCAATGGAACTTGGGTTGAATACTGTGCGTACTGGTGGGACTGGGGGAGGGCCTTTGGGATCTTGCTTGATTTCTCTAGTTTCACTTTTGACGTGCTTAGTTCCAGTAGTCGGCGATTCCGCTGTTTCAGCGCATTTACCTGAATTTTCTTCCTCAGTGGATTTGGAAGAATACATGGAGAGACTAGGCGGAGAAGATTCAGTCGGCTCATGGGTAGCCTTGGGCGGAGCACTTGTGGCAGTGGGACTGGTGGCCAATTTATTTCCTCCAAAGGCCGCACCCAAGCCAAAAGGGTTAGTATTTTCATCTATTTCATCCCAATTTATATTGTACCCACCGCTACCGCCAAAAGTTCTATCATTTGTCATACCAGCGAGAGAAAATCCAAGACAGCGTAGCAGGCAATTTGAGATGGTGGGTTAAAAAATGAACCTCGGCTAGTGGAGTTGCAAAATCATCATTAAATTACCCATTTCTAATTTAAAGTCTTCGTCATCACATTCCTTTTAAAGGTTTCTCATAGTAAAAAAAAGTGGATCTAGATTTTGAAAAGGATGTTTTGCAATTCCCAAAGGTGTCCACTAGCCATGCGCATTTACTTGCCTATCAAGTTGACAACATGCTTTAAAAATGTTGTTTGAAGTCGACGGATCTAAACAGCCTAACTTATACTACTGTAATACGATAGTACTTTATCCCTCGATATTAATGAGGCGCCACTCTTGTAATTCGAATTAGCCCTCTTGTGCCTTGCTGGGTGGGCCATGCCAATAGCCCAGACACCTTCTCTGCGCTGAATATATATTCTACGCGAGTAATATGTCTTCTTTCGTCATCAGGTAGTCTCGGGACGCTACACTACAGAGGTTTGTCTCGCTAATATTCATCAACTGGTTGCTCTCATTAAATCAACGTATGAAGCACTTTCGTGCCTTTCTCTCCTAGCTCCATTTTTCTTCTGGTCCGGAAGGACTACTCTAGAAGAAGGCATCATTTATTGTGGCAATATTAAGTTCTACTATTGATTAGACTAGAAAGGGGAATTTTTTTCCTTCTCTTTAATTGATAGCGCCTTCTCAGTCACATAAGTGATTAAATCTGACATCTTGAGGTCAAGAAAGGTATTTATGAGCAGATACATGGAATACACCCTTCTCATCCTTTTAAGTGCCATCTCTGATGTCTCCTTTTGGGCTTATTTCTTCATATACTATTATCGGAGGAATTCTTGCGTAGTGTAATACGATGGTGGTTTATACCTCGGTATTGTTGAGGCGCCACTTGTGAACTTTGAATTTGCCTTCTTGTACCTCGCTGGGTGGGCTGGCCTTTGGACCATGCCAGTAGCCCAAACACCTTTGTGCTGAATATATATTCTGCTCGAGTATTGTCTTCTTTCCTCTTCAAGGAAGTCTCGGGACGCTACAGTAGGTCAGCCGTCATATCCTATGTAAGGACGAATTTTATCTTTCTGGTCTGTGTAATTCAGACTGAGTAATTTGTTAGTAAGATGATGTTTATCGAAAGGTACTCCTGTGGATGATAAGAAACTATACAGCTGCACTAGACCTCCTTCGCAGTCCACACTAGGCTAGCTACACATGTCATAAGATGTCGTGTTTGGCTACGATAAGCATAGGTGCTCACACGCAAGGTTGAGTTTTGTATCGTCTCTGCTTTTAACCACAGCATGCAGTCTGGATCGTTATGTTCCTGCTTAGAAATATCACCTGGCACTCATTCCGCGTTCGGTAAGCATTTTAAACGATGAAACACTGGTGGATGTATGCACTATGGCCCCACGCCCAAGGCGTAAACTTCCTAACGAAAGCTTTGAAAAGTCCAATTAAAGTGCGATCCGTTCTTCCCATCCGACAATCTCCTACGAATAATCAGGTGTCGTATGTGTCTTTGGGATTCCGGAAGTATCGCACAGTTCTGTGAAAGGTAGGCTCTCGAAGTCAGTACCTTGGTCAATACGCACAGTTTCGAGACCCCCATGTTGCCAAATGCATTGATTGAAAAAAGCAGGAGAGACTGTTTCAGGATCTTGGGTCATCAAGAACACCGTCTCAGCCACCTTTGAGAAATATTCTGGCATTACAGAAAAAAAGTACAGCAGTTTCCTTTCTCAATCGATAAGGGACCGACAATGTCGATGCCTACACTCAGCCATGGGAGCTTGTGGGTAATCGCTTTGGTTTGGGAACTTTTGAGTTTGTTGAAGGCAATGCATTTTGGGGAGTAGAAAGCCACAGATGCCTCCTGCTCGAGGCGTTTAGTGCCTTTTTTCTCCTACGTAACCTAATTGGCTATTAAAGTCTTGAAGAGCTGTTGGTACTACTGAGCCTGTGAGTGCTGAGCGCTTAGGTGTTCGGTCCGATCTTGATGTTATCGGGACTTCACGCTCTGGGGGCAGTTTTGGCCACTCCTGCAGTATTCGTCCGGTCGCCATGCCCGATAGCGTCATCTTTTTCGCTGTTGGTATGGGGGATGTAAGGAACCTCTTGTACACCAGACGTGTATTAGGATCAGTATTTCCCACATTTATCCACTGGTATTTAGTGGGTTTGCTCAGCAAGAACGCCATCAATTCCCACGAGGTCTGGTCCGCAATTTGAGGAATTCGCTTTACAATGCGCTTTGTCTTTTTCATATTGTATAGTACAATCGTACTGCCACAGCTCCTAGCACCAGCACACTATCAGACCAACTCCTGCTGATGTGTTCACACTGCAAATGCCCTAGCCATCTGGTTATCTATTAAATGTCCGACCATTGCGAAAATAATGACCAGTTAGCGTTTGTAGTCGCACTTTTCTGTCTCGTCTGCTTATTGAGTTTAGCACTCGCATAAGCAGCGATGGGCTCCCGACGTTTGTCGCCCTTTTACGAAAGTACATTATCCACAACCTCATCACTCACCTCAGTGCTCAGAACGAACGAAGAAGCACCTAATTCGAAATGAGGCAGTGGCAGAATCGGTGCAAAGCTGAGCATCTACTCTAATTCTTTGGGAACCTCATCGCACTTTTCTTCAAATAATCTTTTTGACCTTGTTTGCAATTTTAGCAAAGCCGTTAAGAAAATG